CGGCAGCGAGCGAGGGAGATCCTTCTGGTAATGAGCTGGGCACAAAGGGGAAAAAAAGCTGTCATTGAAGATTTTCCTTTGGTGATAGAGTCATTAAAAACAACACATGATTCCTGGGCCAGCAGGGATCTTTTGCAGCCAAAGCAGGGCTGAGATGTGCGCTGTGTTCCCACAGCCCCGGCCCCCGACGCCTTCTCTGAAGATCAAGGCAGTGCCGCTGCTCCTGGGCATTCCTCGCACAGGAACCGGGCACGGAGCGGCCGAGGGATGATGGACGAGGGTCGTGCACAGTTTCACCCACAACTTTCCCCCTCCTTTTTGCCTTCAGCATCAGGGTATTGGGATGGATGTCTCTTTTTTTGCATGGATTTTGCGTAGATACGGGTGCTCTGATGTGTTTCCACAGCAGAGACAGAGCCAAGGGTGAATGGGAAGGACCTGGAGAAGTGGCCTTCAGCTTCATGACCAGTGCCAGGGGACACTGAGGGCTCCCCATTTCTGAGAAATCAAACAACAGAACCCAAACTCCATGTTAACTGAACCCCAAGGAAAGCTACTGCCTGAAAATCCACTTGCCAGAGATGGGGTTGTTCAGCCTGGAGAAGAGAAGGCTCTGGAGAGACTTCAGAGCCCCTTCCAGTAGCTAAAGGGAGCTTATCGAAAGGAGGGAAAGGCTTTTTTTTCTGGAGGAAATAGTGATAGGTCAATGGGGAATGGTTTTGAACCAAAAGAGGAGAGATTTAGATTAAAATTCAGGAAGAAATTCTTGGCTCTGAGGGTGGGCAGGCTTTGGCACAGAACTGAACCCCAAGGAAAGCTACTGCCTGAAAATCCACTTGCCAGAGATGGGGTTGTTCAGCCTGGAGAAGAGAAGGCTCTGGAGAGACTTCAGAGCCCCTTCCAGTAGCTAAAGGGAGCTTATCGAAAGGAGGGAAAGGCTTTTTTTTCTGGAGGAAATAGTGATAGGTCAATGGGGAATGGTTTTGAACCAAAAGAGGAGAGATTTAGATTAAAATTCAGGAAGAAATTCTTGGCTCTGAGGGTGGGCAGGCCTTGGCACACGGTGCCCTGAACAGCTGTGGCTGCCCCTGGATCCCTGGCAGTGCCCAAGGCCAGGCTGGACAGGGTTTGGAGCAACCTGGGACAGTGGAAGGTGTCCCTGCCATGGCAGGGGGTGGGATGAGATCATCTGAAAGGTCCCTTCCAACCCAAAGCCTCCTGTGATTTACAGCATTAGCTCTCACCTACCCTAAAAGAAACATCATTTAGCTAAAACCCCTCCAGGAGCCTGTTTGTTTTAAACCTGACTCACAGCAGGACGAGGCTTCTGTACTGACCCCTGGGCAAGGAGGCAGCTGCTTTTATGGCATCCTCCTAAGCAGGGCCGGTGCTGCAGAGCCCAGCCCTCGGCAGCGGTGGGGCTTAGAGACAGCTCAGTCAAGTGCTGCTCCTAGAGCTGAAACATTTTACAGCAGAAGGAGGGGGGGAAAAATCCCCCAAACCAAACCACCACCGGTGGCATTTACTAATCAAGCTCCCGAGGAATATTTTTAGCTATGATTTAGCGTTGTGTTGCACTTTGCTGTGAAGTGTTTGCTCGCTGGAGCTCCCGGCTCTGCCGTGGTGGAGCTGGCACAGGAGGAGCTGCAGAGGGGCCGGGGGACAGGTGGGACAGCGCTTCCCGGTGGGACACAGGTCACGGCTCTGCCCGGCCAGGGAGCGATGGAGCTGTGCCCCGCGGCCAGCCCGACCTCTCTCCTCTCCTCTCCTCTCCTCTCCTCTCCTCTCCTCTCCTCTCCTCTCCTCTCCTCTCCTCTCTCCCCCCGTTGGCAGCAGGGCCTGGCTCTTCCCCAGCTCCACCCAAATCTGTTCCTGGCCGGCAGAAAAATCCCTCTGTGCCACCCGGGGCTGAGACCTCTCCACTCATTTCACAGGGAGCCTCGGCCCTGGTTTCCAGCCTCCCCGGGCTGATATCCTGGGGGTGGGGGACAAAACACCATGACTGAAATGCCCGGGGGCTTTCAGTCTCCCGGGCGTTTCCCACCTGATGCTTTGCTGCCCCTCCAGTGGGGCTGGGATGTTTCCGTGCCCCAGACCGTTTGTAAAGGCAGGCTCCTTTGGGATGCAGGGGTCTCAAGGAAAGGGCAGGCACTGGCAGTGCTTCTCCCATGCCCACCAGCCCCCAGTGCCACCCTGAGGATTTACTCTCACCGAGGCTTTCTGCTTTGTTTTGAGCGAGGGGAACGCTCGGGATCCAGCTGGTTTTAATACATTTAATGAACCTTTGGACAGCAGCTCTGGAGCAATGGTCACCTTCCCAGGGAGCAGTGACATTTGTCATGCTGCTGGTGCTCTCAGGCATTTGGGCTGCCAACAAATGAAGAAGTGGTCGCAGATGCATTCTGTAAATTGGAGCAGCGAGTCCTTGTGGTGCGGCTCTCGCTCCATTTTGTGGGAGGTAAATCAGCAGATCCGGCCCAGCTCCCCCAGGCAGGATTTTCCCTGCACCACAAAGAGCCACCTGCACAGTTCTTCCTGGCTGAATTTCTCCTGGGAGAACAAAACTCCAGCCCCTGTAGGCTCTGCTCTCCCCATGGCCCTCATTGGGAGGAAGGAAGGAGTTTAGGGCCACCTGAACCAGAGGTTGCCCCCAACCATGAGGTGGCTGCTGGTGGCCTCTCTGTCCTCTGCAGGTTTGTCCTGTTGCTCTTTGAACCATCCCACGCTGGTTTCCACCACGCTGTGGCAGAGCTCCACAGATCAACACCTCGAGAAGCTGCTGCTTTCACACCTTCCACCTATTTCTGGCTGCTCAGAAGCATCACACACCCCCAGATCCTTCCCAGCCCTCTTCTCTACCAGATCCATCCTGCCAAACTCCACAAGATGAGCTCCTTCAGGCACCTGCAAGCCCCACTGAGTGTCAACTCTGCCTCTCGTCCTTTCCCTGACTTCACATTCAGGGATTTTTTTGCTCCTTTCACTATTTCAGGACTGCTTTGTGCCTCCCTCCTGCCCCCAGCCCTTCCTCACCCATCCATTCCAAGGGTTCTGCACCAAAACAGGGTCCTGAGCAGCCACCACGAGGTGTGGCACTTCTTGTTTGTTTAATATTCACTTATAAACTTTTTTGTTCAAGGTTAATAGATTTTTCAACATATCTCTTGTTTTTTTCACTACTCTGGCTCCTGGCATCCAACCAAAGATTTACTGCCTTGCAAAAGCTTCCAGTTCCTGGCAGTGTCTGCTCCTCAGGGCTCAGAAGGACCCCGGAAAGCCCAGATGGGGAAAGAGCTCTGATTGCAAGGGCTGAGCAAACAGACTGCCCCAAAGCTTGGCCTAGAACTGAGCTTAGGGCAGGGCTGACCCCAGCTCACAGTCTTGAGGGGTTTGCTTCACCACACACACTCACATCCTCCCCAAACCCAAGCTCAGGGCTTTTCCTGGCTGTCTGAAGAGTGAAGGAGGTTTCCCTCCTTCCTGCTGCTCCATGCACCCCTGATCCCATCAGAAGCATTGGAGGTGCCTCGTTTGCAGCTGGTGATTGCAGCTTGGGCATCCTTCCCTGCCATGGCTCCACTCCCACCCCAGGTGTCTCCTGCAGGGATCACCCATGGAAAACAAACCCCAGAACTGTTCTCTGCTCCACCACAGCTCAGTGAAGGAAGGTGGGAGCCAGGACACCTCTCCCTTCTCTCTCATGCCACACCAGGCAGGGCGCCAGGGCTGCAGGTGCCAGGCACTGACCAACCCAGAAATCTGCCCCAGGGATTAAGCAGCACCTGAGAGATCTGTGGCCATCAGCCAGTCCCTCCTTGCAGGGCCACCAGGGCACACCTGGTCCTTCAGGCCACTTTGGATCTGCCTGCAGGGCTGTAAATGCCAGCCCAGTGGGACAGAGTGGCTTTGGGGGCAGGGAGGGAATGAGGGTGCAGTTATGCACGTGGAAAGCTGTTGCAAAGAATGTAAGGAGCAATGGCTGGACATAGAACTCCTTTTTTTTTTAACTGTCTTACAAAATGAGAGCTGCTCTTCTACCCTGATGGATCAAACTGCCAGATGCTGGTGCTGCTGAGGTGAAGGATAACATCTGGAAGGAGCCAGCTCATTTCTGTCCCATGTCCTCCCCTGCCTGGCCAGCTCAGCAGGCTGTGATTCCCTTCCAAGCTGCACCACTGGGTTTGGGAAGCAGGTGGGGAGCTGGTGGGTGTCTCCCCTCACCTGTGGCATTTCCCAGTACAAGATTTAGAGCTATTGGCTCTTTCCAGTCACAGGGAAAAGCTGCGTGATGGGAGAATCCCCACAGTGCACCTGAAACCTGAACCAGCCCCTGGCTGGTTCCATTTCTCCTGCCTTCACCCTCCAAGAAATTCCTGCTGAGTTTGTGGCTCCCATTTTCCTTCTGCCTCCTGACCCCACTTCCCACTGAGGGCTCCTGGCTTCCTTCCACCCGGGAGAGAGTGAAACCCCATAGGCTTTAATCCATGACCCTAAAGCCTGCACCCAGACCATCCCTGCCCTTGGGAACCTCTTCCTGAAGGTCTGAGGAAAAGATTTTGCCACCCAAAATCACCCCCTTGAAGTCCTGGAAATCACCTGTGACACCAGGAGGAGCAGGAGCAGTGCTGGGCACAGCTCAGCATCCCCTGCTGAGGCTCTGGCCAGGCTCAGTGCTCAGGATTTGTGTGCAGCCTCTTCGTGGGTGAGCAAGATGTGCCAGAGAGGACAGGAATGAAGCTGGAGTCACGTGCAGCCCATCCCCACTGAGAGAACTGGACTTGGGACAGGCCTAGGGATGACAGGTTTTAGGTGAGCAGTTGGGATTGCGAGGCAGAAGTCAGAGGTTTGGTGCTCTGGTGCAGCAGGCTGAGAGAACTCTTGTCAGGGGAGGGCTGTCCCTGGGTTCTGATCCCTGTGCTCCATTAACTGGGGGGTTGGGAAGCAGATTTTTCTGATTTGGTCAAAATTTCCTTTACAGGCTCTCCTTGCATACAAATGTGCCAAACTCCTCCTTGGTTCCTTCTGCTGCAAGCTCTGAGTCTTGTTTGGCCTCTTTGGGGTGAGATTAAAGGGATTTTCCTCCTCCAGGGATGCCCTCCCATGGCACAGTCCCAAATGCTGCCATCACACCCCCCACCCACTTTCTGCCTCTCTTCCAATCTGTCCCTCCTGGGAAGTTTCCAATCACAAAATCCCTTTTTTCCCTTAATTCTGCTCCAGGGTCCCCGTGGGGGCTGCGGGCTCAGGTGGCCCCAGTTCCCCCTGGGAATTTGTGTCCTGTGCAGGGACAAAGAGCCCTGGGAGCCAGGGCTGTGTCCAGTGGCCGTGTCCCGTGGCTATGGCCCAAAGGGATGCTGAGAATGGCTCTTTGTTCCCTGTTCCTAATTGCTGGGCCCGGGCAGCTCGTTAAGGGCTCTGCCCTGTGCCCTCCGGTGCCTGCAGCCCTGGGACGTGCCAGGGCTCAGCCTCTGAGGGCAGGTTTGGGGGGACACATAAAACCAGCTCGGGGTGAAGCTGCCTTAGCTCCTTACTCAGCCTGGGGGGCTCGGGGTGCCCAGAAAGGGGAGGGGGTTGTACATGGCCGGAGCAGAGATCCCTGCAAATGCTGGCACACGGGAGCAAACAGCCGGCAGAAATCTTGATTTTTGGGAGGCGGGGACATCACCCCATCCGTGAACAGTGGCTCTGGGGAGCACTGGGGGCTCAGAGCTCGCTCTGAGCCCGAAGCCCCTCGCAGCCCTGCGGAGGGCTCAGCGCCGGGTCCCTCCCGGGCACCCCGGGCAGAGCCCAGCCCTAGGAAAGGCTCCGGGCTCCTTCTCGGAGGGAGCTGGAATTTGCATTTGAAAGCAGCGGAGGAGCTGCTGCCGCTGCTGGGAGCGCTGGCCGGGTGCTGTCAATGGGAAACTGTTCTGTCCAGCGCTGCCGGGGCCAAAAAATGTGAACTCTGCGGATCGCTGGCTCCGCTGGGGCAGCAGCGCTGGCCCCGCTCACGGCGGCTGGCGGAAGCTGCTTCTCCCTGGCTGCCAACATTTTGGGAAAGATGGGGCGAGTGGGGATATGAAACAGAGGGATTCTGCTCTCTGGGAATGCTGCTGGTGCCCTCTGGTCCTTATCAGCCCAGCCACCAGCTTGCCTTTTGCGCTGGGAGCTGGGCTGAGCCCCGAGGCACTCGTGGCACCCAAGACCCCCTTGTGTGAGCCTGTGGGGTGGCTGCCTGTCCGTGTCCCTGTCCCTGGGTCTGTGTCCCCATCCCAGAGTCTGTGTTCCAATCCCAGGGTCTGTGTCCCTGTCCCAGGGTCTCTGTCCAAATCCCAGGGTCTCTGTTCCAGTCCCAGGGTCCGTGTCTGTGTCCCAGTCTCAGTTCCAGTCCCAGTCCCAGGGTCTGTGTCACCATCCCAGGGTCTGTGTCCCAGTCCCAGGAGACACCACCATGGATAATAAATGCTCCTTTTTTGCCTCTTTTCCCAGCCTGTTTCCCACCATTCACCCTTTACACCAGCGGGGTACCCTGTCCCCAGCACCCCACAGCCCAGGGTGCTCCTCCTTCATCCTTCTCTGCAGCTCCCATGGGTGCCCTCAGTGGGGACGAAGCCTTTGGTCTCCCTACATCTCCTTAAACCCTGTATAAAACAAACCATCCTCAGCTCAGGGGGGGACAGTGGAGAAGGGGACACCCAGAAATGCTGTGGGGGCACTCAGAGATGCTGTGGGGGCACACACAGGAGCTGTGGGGACACCCAGAAATGCTGTGGGAGCATCCAGAGATGCTATGAGAGTGCACATAGGAGCTATGGGGGCACCCCGGGATGCTGTGGGGCCATGCAGGGAGCTGGGATGAGCTGGCCACAGCAGCTTGTCTCAGTGTAGTGTGGGCACAAATAAAACCCTGTAGAGGCTGCAGTGAGCTGGAAATAATGGCATTACAAGCGCTTCCTCGCTTCTCTTTGGGCTGGACGAGGCTGTTCGGGGCCAGCTGAAGGGCTGCAGCACAGGGGAGCTTGCTCCTGCTTTGAACAGCTCTGGGAAGCGAGTGGGAAAGGACACAAAGCGTGGCACAAAGGTAGGGACAAAGTCCTCACCTCCACCCTGGCATCTGTGTGCTCGCAGCACCCCAAGGGTTGCACCCCCGGAGTGCATCCGTGCCCTGCTTGGAAAAGCCCTGCTGTACCTGCCGTGTCCCAGCGGGGCAGGAGGAACCTCCTGGAGAAGGCTGAGGCAGTGTGGGGGGACAGACAATGGTGAGAGCTGTGTATTTTGATTTTTCCTTCCTCTCCTTTCCCAGCAGAGGCGTGAGGGCTCGCCATGCCGCTGGTGAAGAGGAACATCGAGCCCCGGCACCTGTGCCGGGGGGCCCTTCCCGATGGGGTGACGAGTGAGCTGGAGTGTGTCACCAACAGCACGCTGGCTGCCATCATCAAACAGCTGGGCAGCCTCAGTAAGTCAGGGCACAGCCACCTGGTGTGGGACGGCACCAGGGTGGCACTGGGATGGCGCTGGGATGGCGCTGGGATGGCACTGGGATGGTGCTGGGATGGCACTGGATGGTGCTGGGATGGTGCTGGGATGGCACTGGATGGTACTGGGATGGCGCTGGGATGGTGCTGGGATAGCACTGGATGGCACTGGGATGGCACTGGATGGCACTGGGATGGTGCTGGGATAGCACTGGATGGCACTGGGATGGTGCTGGGATGGCACTGGATGGTGCTGGGATGGTGCTGGGATGGCATTGGATGGCATTGGATGGCACTGGATGGTACTGGGATGGCAATGGGATGGCACTGGGATGCCACAGTCACCCCACCAGTTTCAAACACAGAGGAACAGGGGTTGTGTGAGAGCCGTGTGCAGCCACTCCTAATTCAGTGGGAATTATCCAGCTTGTTGAAAATAGGAGGATGCTCCTACTTTTTAATTTTCTATTTTTTATTTTATTATATATAATAATTACTCATACAATTGTATAGAATTAATTATTTCTAGAATAAATTGTTATTGTTATTATGATTAATTTTAAAAATTCTTTTATATTATTATATACTTGTTATAATTGTATTATGTATATATATATATAGGTTTGGGGGTTTTTTTTAATTATATATATTTTTGTTTGTTTGTTTGTTTTGTTTTTTGGTTGGGTTTTTTTTTTTGGTTTTTGGTTTTTTGGGTTTTTTTGGCCAAGTTCAAAATGGGAACCTGGTGACATTTTGAGACCCATTTTCCTCCCACAGCTGGTCTGTGCAGTGGGGGATGGAAAGCCTTCAGGAGCCCCTTGCTTCTCCACTTGGCCAGAAATAGGAAGGCCAGGTGAAGATCTAAAATACCCAAAGCTACTCTTTTTTAAAGTTAGAGCTTTTTGAGGAAGAGAGGTCTCTATCAAAGGTCTAAACCTGCAGCTGTCTCCCTGCCCTGGGACTGATCTCAGCAGGAAAGGGGCAGATGAGAGCACTGCACACACCAGCGTGAAGGTTTAACAGGGGCAACCTATTTCATGCTGAATATCCACTTAAAATAGAGAGAGAAGCTATTCAGGGCCCCCCCTCTTTCACACACCTCCAGAAGTAGATTCTGCTCTAAAATACTTCCAGAAAAATAAACCCAGGGTGTAGGGAGCTGCTGGAAGTGCCAGGGCTCACACAAGCAGCACCCACGTCTGCTCAGGCTTCCTAGTCCAGGGAAAGGAGAATCAAATATGACAAGGCTGGTGAGTGCTCTGAGGAGGTTCTGAAAGTGCCCTGATCTGGGGAATTGTTTGAGAGGTGGGGTTGGAGGAAACCCTGAGGATCTGGGGAGATGGATGGGATGGGATGGGATGGGAGGATGGGTGCTTAGCCTACAGATATGAGCAGTGCTCTGCTAGATACCTCACTCAGCTCCATGACAGGAATAACCCTAATAAAAAGCTAAATAATCCTAAATAAATAACCATAAATCAATAAGCTGTTGTAGGGATGCACTGACAGATGCAGGATAAAGTGAAACAAATTGTAGGTCCTCCCTGCTGTGGCACTGTCCCCACTGCCCTGCTCTTGGCTTTCTACCTGGGCAGAATTTCCCCAGGTCATGTTGTGTTATTTTTGGTCATTTTTTTTGGTTGATCTGTCCTGATGGATCCAAGGGCTCTTTGGGGCACTGTGAATGTTCTGTGCCCCAGTGGGTGCTGCTTTCTCTGGAAAGGGGGGCTCATTTGGACTCCCCTGCCTCCTTGCATCACTTTGGGAGAGAATGAGGCTCAGCTCCCAGAAATCCAGGCTGGGGAGAGCACCCATGGAGCCAGTGGGGAGGTGCGTGCTCCGGGATGGGCTGAGCTGGGCAAGCCACCTCTGGTGACGGGCGCGTTGTCCCCTGCCAGGCAGGCACGCAGAGGACATCTTTGGAGAGCTGTTCAACGAAGCCAACAGCTTCTACATGAGGATGAACTCACTGCAGGAGAGGGTGGACCTGCTGGTCATCAAGGTGACGCAGCTGGACTCCACCGTGGAGGAAGGTGAGGGGCCGGGGCTGGTCTGGGGCGATGTCCAGACGTGCTCTCGGGGCCGGACCCTGCCCCGCCGTGCTCGGCAGGCTGAGGCCACCCCTGCATCCCTTGTCCTTCCTGTGCCCCCCAGTTTCACTGCAGGACATCAACATGAGGAAAGCCTTCAAGAGCTCCACGGTGCAGAACCAGCAGGTCGTGTCCCGCAACTCCATCCCCAACCCGGTGATGGAGATGTACCAGCGCTGCGACAAACCCCCGCCCCTCAACATCCTCACGCCCTACAGGTACGGGGCACAGCTCGCCCTGGGGCTCCGAGGGGTCCCTTCCATGAAGGGATCAGGAGTGCCCCCATTTGTGTGCTGTGCTGCCACCCCCATTGCGTGGGATACTTGGGATGTGTCCACAGCCTGCAGGTGGTGGCTGCTGTGTTGGATGTGTCTGTGATGGGGCAGCAGCTCATGGTCATGGTCATCCCAAAGCCCTCGGGAATGGGAATGGGAACGGGGGTCTTCTCCTGTGGCTGGTAACCCTCTCCCCCGCCTTCCCACCCCCCAGGGATGACAAGAAGGATGGCCTCAAATTCTACACCGACCCCTCCTACTTCTTCAACTTATGGAAGGAGAAGATGCTGCAGGCGACAGAAGACAAGAGGAAGGAGAAGCGCAGGCAGAAGGTGGGTGGGGGCAGGAGGGGGACAAGGGGACAAGGGGGCAGGAGCTGGGGGTGCTCGGGACCTGGGGACAGCCACCTCCTGGTGCACCCTTCATGCTCCCATTCCCTGCACTGGGTGCATCTCACAGGGCTGGGTGACGCTCCCCAGGGACTGCTCCTGGTCCAGGGAGCCGGGCTGGAGGTGGAGCCATGGCTTTGTGTCCCTGCAGGAGCAGCGGCTGGTGGAGGACTCCACCCGGGAGGTGAAGAAAGTGAGGAAAGCCCGCAACCGGCGCCTGGAGTGGAACATGATGGCGTATGATAAAGAGTTCCGGCCGGATAACAGGTTCTCACCATCCCCCTATCACATGGCGTCATCGGAAGGATCACTGTCCCCAGATAATAGGCAGGTTCTACCTCCTACACCTTCAGCTCACGGCTCTCCTTTGCTTTGCTCTTCCTCTCCGTCGTTGCGGGGGACGTGTTGCCCACAGCAGGGTTGGGGTGCTCAGCTGTTAGCCTGTGGGTAGCTGGTGTCCCCAGGGTGTCATCCTGGAGCTCAGGAGGAGCCTTGGCACTGGGATAAAACTGGAGCACTTTGCGTTTCACAGCTACGGGAAGAGAGTGGTTCAGCTCTGTTGTGTCCTCCTCCCCTCTGCTCTCACTCTGCTGTCTTGTACATCGATATTTTCATGGCCTTTTCTTGTCTTGTCGTCTGAACCCCAAAATACTCCCAAACCCACACGCCCGAGCTCCCTCAGGAGTACAACAGCCGGCTTTCCCTGTGCTGCAGGTCCTACGCGTCGGACGCCGCCGACCACTCGTACCCGGCCAGCCCCAACCACCCCGCGCAGCTGCTGGCCCCGGCGGCCCACCTGGCCCCTGCGGAGCACAAGGAGGGGCTGGCGGCCACCAACCCCCCGGAGCACGTGTTCCGGCCGGCCGCGGGCAGCCGGCAGAACAGCCTGACCCGCCTGCAGCAGCCCCACGCCCCGCCGCCCCCCGAGGCCGTCCTCAACGGGCCCAGACCACACCTAGTCAAGGATTACGGGTAAAGCTTCAGCCTGCTCGCTGGTGGAGGGGTGTCCAAAGGAAGGGGGGCTTGGTGGGGGTCTGGCCCCCCGTTTCTGGGCTGATGGAGCAGGAGAGACCTCCCCTGCAGCTTTCATGGTCCAAAACTGCTGGTGAGAGGCCAAATCAGTCAGCAGTGCTTTTGGGGTAATGTCATCCCAGATAAGGGGGCAGGGTGGATGGAGGGTTTGCCCCTGGGGTGTTGCCTGCCTTCCACCACTGCATTAGCCATAGCCCATCCCACCAGCAGAGCTCCACCACCCTTCTGGCTCTGGGACAGAGCTTTCATTGGGGTTCAGAGCAAACCAATCCAGAGCGGAGCCAGCTGGGTGCTGGGATGGGTGATGGATGCTGGATGGGTGATGGATGCTGGATGGGTGATGGGAAATCCTTCAGTCAGCAGTGCTCTGGCAGCCAGGGGGACCGGGTGTGCCCTAGAGGGCATCAGGCCGAGCATCACCAGCCAGGCAAGGCAGGAGACTGTTCTGCTCTGATCTGCACTGGGGCAGCCTCACCTTGAATACTGGGGGCAATTTTGGGCACCACAATATAAAAAAGACATTGAGATACTAAAGAGTGTCCAAAGGAGGCCATGAAGATGGTGAAGGGCTTTGAGGAGAAGCCTGTGAGGAGTGGTTAAGGGCATTTGGCAGAGGAGACTGAGGGGAGACGTCATTGCAGTCCACAAATTCCTGAGGGGAAGCGGAGGGGCAGTTGCTGATCTCTTGTTTGTGATGACCAGTGATGGGACCCGAGGGAATGGCCTGAAGCTGTGTCAGAGGAGTTTTAGGTTGGATATCAGGAAAAGTTTCTTCCCTCAGAGGGTCGTGGGGCACTGAGCAGGCTCCCCAGGGAATGGTCCCAGCCCCAAACCTGCCGGAGCTCCAGGAGCGTTTGGGCAGAGCTCCCAGGGATGCCCAGGGTGGGACTGTTGGGATGTTCCAGGAGTGGGACTGGATGACCCCTGCGGGTCTGTTCTATCTCGGCCATCCCTGGGCTCTGTGATTCTCGTGGCGCTGATCCCCGTGCCCCCGTTGCAGCCCGCAGCCGGTGCCCATGGCCGAGTACTTCGTGCCGCCGGCCCCGCCGCCGCCGCCGCCCGTCATCCCGTCGGCACAGACCGCCTTCGACAGCCCCATCTCGGCTCCCCCCGCGCTGGCCCCCGGCTCGGCCGCAGCCCCGTCCTACGCCCCTTCACCGCCCCCCGCGCCCCCCGGGCCCTACTCCGCCTCGCCGCCGCAGAGCGGCCCCATGGGACCCCCGGTGGCCCCGCCGCCCCCGCCGCCCGGGCCCCCGGCCGTGTCCGCCTCGCCCGCGCACTCCGCCTCGCCGCCCGCGCCCGCCGCCGAGCCGCGCAAGCCGCAGATCCCGCTGATGCCCATGAGCGACGCCCGGAGCGACCTGCTGGCAGCCATCCGCAGGGGTGAGTGCGGGCACCGGCCCGAGGGGAGCAGAGCCCCCGTGGCAAAGCAGAGTTGGGTGGCACCGGCGACACCGAGGGCAAGATGAGCGCTCGGTGGCCAGGTGATGGGTGAGGATGGCGGGACCTTGCCGGGGGAGTAAAGGCAGGGTGGATGCGACCTCCGCGGCTGGAGGTGGATTGCTGGCAGCTCCCAGCATGTGGCTTCCTCCCAGGCCGTAGTGGATGATGTGCTCCAAGGTCTCTCGCATTTCCCCTTCCTGCAAATCTCCAAGTCAAATGGTAAATTTAACCTTTCAGAAGGTTCAGTATCTTCAGGCTGAGTGGAAGCAGAGGAGGAGCTTTATTCTATGATACAGCTTTGTAATCATAGATAATCATAAAATCCTAGAATGGTTTGGGATGGAAGGGATCTTAAAGCTCAACCCATTCCACCCCCTGCCCTGGGCAGGGACACCTCCCACTGTCCCAGGCTGCTCCAAGCCCTGTCCAGCCTGGCCTTGGACACTTCCAGGGATACAGGAACAGGCACAGCTCCTCTGGCAACCTGTGCCAGGGCCTCACCACCCTCACAGAGAAGAATTTCTTCCTGACATCCAATCTGGGCCCACTCTCTCCCAGTTTACAGCCATTCCCTCCTGTCCTACCAACCCTATCCTATCATCCCATATAACTTTGTAACCACCAGGGCAGTCGCCCTCTTGTCTCAGCCAATACTTTACAACTGGGGGGGATGCTGCACATTGGGTGCACTCCCCCCTGAAGCCTTCCCCCCCTTTCTTGTAGGAATCCAACTCCGGAAGGTCCAGGAGCAGTGGGAACAAGAGGCCAAGAAAGAGCCCGTGGGCAATGACGTGGCGACCATCCTGTCGCGCCGGATCGCGGTGGAGTACAGCGAGTCTGACGACGACTCCGAGCTGGACGATAACGAGTGGTCGGACTGAGGGCTCCGGGCTGGGCGGGCTCGGGGCTCCAGCTCTGCTCCAGGTGTGTATGGGCACCTCCAGGTGTGTGTGAGCACCTCCAGGTGTGTGTGGGCACCTCCCCAAGGTCGCTGCCGGCAGGCAGGGGCCCCGCTCGGTCAGGAGCTTTGCTTTTACACTATGTCCAAAACCCTTCGGGCAGCAGCAGCACTGGTAGGATACACCTCGGAGGCAGTGAGACCAGAAATTAGCAGCACCTTCACAGTTAATGACTTCCGAAATTCTCTGAAGGCAGGTTAATAGGATTACTCCAGATTTGCACCTGGAGCAAGAGCGGAGACTGGCCCTGAGTGTGCTTTGTGAGAGAAGGAGCCCCAGAGGCAGCAGTGCTTTTCCAGCTAAATATTAATTGTGATAACGAGAAGCTCCTGGAGAAGAAGCCTTGTTTGCACAGCTGGTGCCACCACGGGAGCTCAGGGGTGGGCTTGGGGACACTGCTGCTGGTGGTTCTGGGGTCAGGCAGCTCCAAAGGCGGCCTGTGGGCAGGAACCTCCTTCCCTACAGAGCAACACACCACATTTAGTAGCAGTCCCTGTGTTGTTGCTCCCTGGAAAATCATGGAATGCTTTGGGTTGGAAGGCACCTTTAAAGCCCATCAAGTCCAACCAGGACTGGGACACCCTCCACCAGACCAGGCTGCATGAGCAGCCCGAGGTGTTAGTGACCTATGTTAGTGGATAGCCTGTGTCCATCCTCAGAGCTGGTTTTCTAGGAGCAATGGGGGAAGGCAAGGCTGGAGTGGCTGGCAGGGAGACCCAGCCTTGTCTGGGCTTGTCCTGCCTTTTCCAGTGAAGGAGTAGAGATGTCCAGGGAGCTCCCCCAAGCCCAGCTCTCCTTGGCCTTAGCGTGCCACCATTTCAGTGTGATTTGGGAAAAAGTGAATCAGACAATCTGCTGCTTTCAGGTAAACTCTGAACTTGCACTTTGCAACCCCACAAACTGTGCCTGTACAGTTGAGATCAGCTCAGAGCCAGGCACTGATTCCCCCTAACTGATCCTGCTCCATCCCCTGTCCCAGGTATGGACACTGATGGAGGAGCTGGGCAACCAGCCCCTGTTTTCCCATCAAAACAGAGCGTGACCCATGGAGGAATTTTCAAAGAGCTGCAAAGGGAGGAGGAACAGAGCAAGGCAGAGCAAAGGGGTGGAAAATACTGGAAATATCACAGGCAGGTGTGAAAACCTGCAGAGAGCTGGGAGAGGTTCCCCACCTGTGGAAAACAGGCCAGGACCAGCTGTGGATTGGCCAGTGTGATGTCCCCAGACCCCCTCTTGTGTTCCCCTGGATCACGAGTCCCTGAACAGGCAAAGCCTGAGCTCTGTGCCCAGTTCCCTGCCTCTCCCAGTAGCCCTGCAGGTGATGGCTACTTTAGAAGGATTTTGGCTATGTAGAAGCAGCCAGACCTGTAAAAGAGGTGGGAGGATATGGAGATCCAAATGCTGATGGTTAAATTCACAAAATCCTAGAATGGTTTGGGATAAAAGGGATCTTAAAGACATCATCTCATTCCAATCCCTTGCCAAGGGCACCTTCCACTAGAGCAGGTTGCTGATTTCCTGGGAAATGCTGGTGTTGAGCAATGTCCCAAACATCTGCTCACTTGCCCCCAGTGACAAACCCCTCATGGGCAGGTGTGATGAACCCTCTGCCCAGCTGCTGGGAAATGCCCCAGGAGCTCTCCCTTCTCCTGACTGGCACAAAATGGTCTCTTGTCCCTTGGATGTGACACCTTCCACACCCGGGCTGGGAGCTGTGCTCTGTGTGGGCTTGAGTGGGGGTGCAGAAGGGATTTGGGATGTGGGAGAGGGCAAGGCAAGAAGCAACAGGATCCAGGGAATAACTCATCTGCAAAACCCAAGGAGCAGGAGTGACCAGAGGGGCAGGGAGACACCATGAATTCCTGGTGCACAGTGAGAGCTCTTGATTCTGGTGTTGACCCTCTGAGATGCAGGGAAATGGCTGCAAGAGCTTTTTGCAGAGCCCTTGCAATGCCCAGGACTTGCTTTCCTTGGGAAGGCAGCTGGGGTTTGGCTGGAGCAGGTTCAGAAGGAGGCAGAGTAAAAATTCAGGGCAACAGTTAAGGTGGAGTTTCTGGTGGAGCGTTACTAACATAGATAAAATCACAAAACCATGTGTAAGCGAAGAGAAATTTGGTTTATTTAGGTAATTTAGGAAGAGTAATAACCCTTTGTGAGAGAGAGAAAATAGCAGGGGCTGGCGGAGCTGCTCTTCTCTGTTCCAGAGGTGGAGGGGCTGCAGAGTCACTGTGGGACCCAGCAGAGCTGAGGAGCCCCACTGGCCTGGGAAGGGGCTCAGGGACACAGGGGACTGGCTCATCCCTGGCTCGGGGACTGTCCCAGTTCTGCAGAGCTGAGCCAGTCCTGGTGGGAGCTGAGGGCAGCCCAGTGCCCCTACAGGACCAAGTCCCTTCTTTTCATGCACCAGTTGCTCTGTGTGTGTCACATGGGGCCGTGCAATTGGGGCAGGACTCCGTGGCTGTGGGGCAGGTCAGGGCTGTCCCACGGCCCTGCCACCTCACAGCACCTCTGCTGGGACTGGCACTGCCAGGATTGGTGCCGTGGCAGGGCAAAGTGCTTGGCAATCACAGGAAGGCTGGGAGGGACCCTAAAGGTCATTTGGGTCACTCAGGCCACATCTGCAGGGCGGATGCACAGCTGGCAGCCCCAGGGGGCAGGAAAGGCTCACCCCCATTTCCTCACATCTTTGTGTTCTTACACCACCCGTGTCCCCACTGGTGTAAGAGCACCCATCCCAGCAGCCCCAGCACGTCCTCACCCGTCCTGCTCTGCTGAGGGAAATCCCTGAGAGCACAAACCCAGCTCACATTCCCAGCTGCAAAGCCAGCAGCACCACGACCTGCCAGCGCTGCCAGCTGGTGGGAAACATCACCACCCTCCTCTTCAGGGACCACAACTGCCATGGAAACCCTTCAGCTCTCTTGGTAGCAGGGGTGGGATCCCCCATCCTCACCCCAGAGAGCTGTCTGGTGGGGCTGCTGGAGAAGTGCCCTCGGGGTGGGTTTGGACACCCATTCCTGGTCTGGCCATGGCACACCCAGCTCTTCCCAGCCCTCCCAGCAGCCCCACAGAGCAGGGAAGCACCAGGAATCATTCAGGTGGGAAAGGACCTCCAGGACCTCCACACTGGAGCATTAACACCACAGTCCCATGAGAGCCATTCCATCCTCAGTGCCTTCCCTTGAGGGACTCAGCCACGCTCCACCACCTCTCTTTGAGTCAAATCACCTGGTTTTTGCTCAGGTGACCTTTGCAATCCAACAGAAGTGACACCAATTCCTTGGCTGCTCTGGGTGGTGCTGCTGGGAGTGTGCCACACTAATTAACACTGTCTGTCTGCCCCACATGCTGCACACTCAGTGGTTTGTACATGTGTGCCTATTTCTGTACTTTCCCCCCAAAGTAGGCCATGCTGAGTTACACAACCTGAAATGCTCAAATCCTCATGTGGGCTGATATAAAAGTGAATATTTAAGTATTTTATCTAGCTTGGCAGACATTAAAAAATACAATCCAGGTCACAGATGATTGAATTTCTCCTCTCTCAAGAGTGCCAGAATTGGGCTGAGGAGATTCTCCTGTACATTAAGGTATCGTGTTCCCTGCTAAAATGTAGCAGTGGCATTTCATTGCCAAAGGATAATCACAGAGTGCCAAACATTTAATGAGTCCAACTGATCTCCTGAGAGCTCCTCTTTCCATTTTATCTGCTTCCCCCTACTTGCCAATTTATGGGCATAGATTAAAAATAATAAATATGGCTGTCAACAGCAGGGGGAAATATTCTGTGTCCATACACATGGGGTGGGCTGCAGTCAGTGGAACAGTCAATGAGTAAATTTTGGTTCTGCTTGGAGATGTCAATGGAAGGCTGTCATCCTTGAGGTCCATCAGGAACCTCTTGGACATCCCAGGTGCATCTGAAAAGGGACTTTGCAGGGAGCCCTGTGCCCGTGGTGCAGCTGTGAAGCTACCCCAGGTGTGCAGGCAGGTCCTGCTCGGGTGGCTGGGGATGGTGGAGTCCTGCAGAGTTCACTCTGTGGTTGGGGTGACCACTGGAGCTGGCTGGTGGCTCTTAAAGGATCAGTGTCCTGCAGGAAGAACGGATTGGGCAGTTTCTGGTTTCTAATTTCCTACCCAGGGAAGAGACCTAGAGAGGAGCAATCACCCATCCCACGAGGGCTCCTGCCTTTGCAGCTGTTTCATCTTGGGAAGGTTTTACTCCAGTGACAAACTTAAGGCTGAGCTTGGCTTCTTCAGAGAGCTCTTTCCACAGAAGAGCCCTCAAATTTCCTCCCAGCCACTTTTCCACCTCTCTCTCCCTTCCCAGCCTGGACAGAAGCTTTGCAGACTCCCCTGAGCCTGAACTAACACCTCAGCTTTAATGACAAAAGGGAGTTTTGCTTGGAGGGAGGCAGGTGGTAGCACTGGAGGTGGCATTTTGGAGGGGGCATTCCAGAGGTCCCCAGCTGGCAGGAACTCTGTGCCACTTCCTTGTGGATGGAGCAGGGATGGCCCTGGGAAGCACCCCCGTGGGGGGGATGCTGGCAAGGGGAGCACAGGCTGTTCCTTTCACCAATATTCTTGTTTTTCCTGTAGCAGTAGTTATTTAGGGGTAAGGTTTTCTCAGCTGGAAGGTCACTTTACAGATTAAAAAAAAAAAAAAAATAAGGGCAAGGAGTCTGTCCTGAGGAGTTTACAGTCTACAGCAAAGACCATGTAACCTGCACTGCACTTTAGAAGCCTCAAATGCTCACTGACCCATGAATTTCCCCTCGACTGGGCAGCAGCCCCTTGAGGGCAGTTGTCCCTTCCTTAGGTGACCCCTGCCCAGCACCAGCCACATTCCTGCTGGTGACAGAGCCCCCGGGGCTCTCCTGCCCCAGTCCCCACGCAGAAGTGCCTGAGCAAAGCCCAGGAGAGCCGAGCCCCGCTGGGTTTGTCCCTGAACTGGTCCCTGTGCACTCGGGGGCCTTTCCCTGCCCCACACAGCTGTGCTCCCTGGGATGACCCTAGGTGGGCTGGGAATGGTGTCTGGAGCACCTCTGAGTGACCCTCAGGGCTGTCACCAACCCCGGGACAGCCTCTGGAAAACCTCCTCTTCCAGACACTCATAACCCAAACCCAGACTTTGAAGTGGTTCCATCTCTTTGAGAATCAAAGGGGTTGTTTTTCTGTGTCAATTTGATTTTTCTTGGACAAACCCCAGGGATTTTAGGCTCACTCTGTCAAGCTCCACCTTCTCCAGGTGAAAAATGTGCCTGTATTTTGGTGGTGGAGGGAATAAAGAAACCAAACCAAACCCCAGAGTTAAGGACCCCAGGGAGGAGGTGTTTGCCCCAAAGCCTTCAGAGCTGTGCCCACAGGCAGGGTGGGACAAGAGGATGTCCCCAGGGGAGGACACCAGCCTGGTGGTGTCCCCCAGGGTGCTGTCACCACCCTGGTGGTGTCACCAGGCTGAGGCAGAGCCTGCAGCAAGGGCTAGGCTCCTGCAGAGGGAAACCCCAGGCAGGAGCTGCATGGAGAACATCCCCTGAGGGCAGAGCTGGTGTGACAGGACCCAAAGTGGTGTCAGAGTTACAGGCTGACAGGACCCTGAGGCCACCACAGCAGCACTGATGCTTCACCCTCCCCTGGGCATCTCCCGCGGGTGTCTCCAACCTCTCCCTCCTCCCAGGAGCAGGACTGAAGCTCTTGCTGGTTGTTGTGAGCCCCAGATGTGTGAAAGGAGCCTTTCCCTGCACATTGCTACTGCTCAGTGGTAATTCCAGCTCCTGGCTCTGAATGAGGTTAAGAGTGCAAGAGGAAATAATACGGCAGCAAGGAACCAGCCCAGCATTTTTGGTTGGTCATGCTCACATCAGCCTGCACAGGGGAAACCTCAGGCAGGTCAAACCCTGTGCAAAGCCACCAAGGGCAGTGAAGAGGGGATAAATCTGTTCTGCAGGTCAGTGTGGGACTGAGCTGTGGCACGAAGGAGCTGAGTCAGGTCTCAGGAAAACTTTCTGGAGGTGAGGATGGAGAAACTCAGGTCACAGAGGCTCTGCCGTGGCTTTGAGGAGCCAAGAGAAGCTCTGGCCTTGTGTGCAGCCAGGGAGCACTGGAGGTGCCCACAGGGCCTTTCTGGCACGTTTGTCATTCTCCCTCATCCCCCCCCTGGGGCTCTGTCCCCCGAGGGTGGGTTACAGCCCCAGAGCATCCCCAGCAGCCAGGGCAGCTGCTTCTGCTCCCCCTTGGTTTTGGTGTTGAGCCTCAAATAGAATAAAGATAAAATGTGCTGCAGAACCAACAGCTGAGAGGGCAGGGTGTGAGCTCCCAGCTGCTTCTGCTGTGTTTCAGTAGTTAGAAGGCAGCAGCTCCTCTGGACCATCCATGATCCACAGACTGTAGTGAGTAAACCATCAAGGTGCACAATTTAACATTTACCCTTTGATTGGGGGTAGCTCAGTGGAGAAATCTAAAAGTAAAACGTAAAAAAAAAAAAAAAAATCTAAAAATAAACAAACAAAAAACACATCACCCACACAACAAAAAAGCAAACAAACAATTCCTCTGGACCATCCATGATCCACAGACTGTAGTGAGTAAACCATCAAGGTGCACAATTTAACATTTACCCTTTGATTGGGGGTAGCTCAGTTGAGAAATCTAAAAGTAAAACGTAAAAAAAAAAAAAAAAAAATCTAAAAATAAACAAAAAACACATCACCCACAAAACAAAAAAGCAAACAAACAACGCACATGTGATTTCCAGAAGGATAAACTGTTCCCTTTCCTTCCCTCAGACCTAGACTGTTCCCTTTCCTTCCCTAGAGGGAAGGTCAGACACAGCAAAACTTCCCAGTCAGTAGCAACAGAACAAAGCAGGTGCCACCAGGAGCACTTCCAAAAATCCCAGGAAACTGGTGTTTAAGGAAAAGCAATAATCACATCACCCCAAGGCAGCAAGGAGAGTTTCCTGCCACTACAGGAGGTGCTTTCATCCCTGGAGGCCTCTCCCCAGCTCAAGAGTTTCAAATCCCATTGATTTTCACCTCTCACTGGTGCTGGTGCAATCCTGGTGCCTCGGCTGGGATTGCTCACTCCATGGAAAATCACTTCTTGCCATGGAAAAACCACAAAAGTCTTGTGTTTAAAAGGGAGAGGACGTGGAGCCAGGGGCACTCCTGTGCTGCTGCTGCTGATTTCCTCCTGGCAGCAGGAGTAGCTCAGGCAGAGCCCTGCCAGGGCTCCAAAATTCACAGTCATGAGCATCAACACCCCCCTCACTGCTCCCCCTCCAAATTCAATTTTACACTGAGATATTCCAGCTCTGTCTGTAGCTCTGGCTGGTTTTCCACAAATGGGGCTGCTCTTTCTGGTGTTTTTGTCTCAGGCCAGAGCAGATTAGGTAAAGAAAGCAAATCACAGACTCCCAGAACTGTTTGGATTTCCAGTCTGGATTTCCATGGGCAGGGACACCCTTCAGGAGACCAAGTCCCACCCCACCTGCTCAAATCCTCACAAATTTAAAAAACCTTTGTCTTCAAAATGCATTTTCAGGGCCTTTTGGAGCTGATGGCTCCTCACCTTAACAGACTTCCTTAATTTTGGGGCTGCCTGACTTCTTGGGGGGACCTGAAGCAGGGTGTGAGTTTGGGGTGATGCTGGGCTGCGCTGGCACCTTCCTCCCCTCTGCTCCCAGCTGTGCCCTGCCACACAGAGGGCTGGGGTCCAGAATTCCTGCTGGGAGCCCCGCGGGGCAGGGCAGCTCCTGGTGACACAAGTGCCTTTCCTGGGGGTCCCTCTGGCCCTGCCAGGGAGCCTCCTGGGCTGGGTGGGCTTGCTGTGCTGGGAAGGGGCAGAGCTCAGCTGGGTGGGGACCTGGAGCTGCCCAGACCCTAGGGGATCCTCTGGGATCCCTCCTTCCCCAGGAGTCTCTCGGGGAGCAGTTTTCACTCCACTCTTGGCCAGCCCCAGGAACTGCTGCAGCAACCTGGAGGCAGGGGGAGTGCCCAGGGGATGTGGGAGGTGTGGGGAGGGGACAGACCCTGTCACCACTGTGCTGTGGGTTGCTGCTGTCATGGGGCAAGCTTTGTAAAAAACCTTCCTCCTCCTCCTCCTGCTCCTCCTCCTCCTGCTGGTGTCCAGCCTGGGGCAGCTGGGACAATGCCAGCTGTTGCAGCAGGACAGGAGCCATCTCCTTCCAGCTCCCATCCTCTCTGGAGCCAGCAGGAGCCCTGACACCTCTGGGTGAGGCCAGCTGCTGTAGGAGAGTTATTTTGGAGGGAATTGAAGGCGGGTGAGCATCATCTCGTGTGTCCTGCAGATCAAGGCACCTCAGACCCCAAGGTCCTCTGCACCACCCAAGCTCTGAGCTCAGGAGACCTCCTAGAGCACTGGGGCACCCATCCTCCCAAAACTGAGCATCCAGGAGCAGCCAGCTCCAGGTGGGAATTTCAAAAGCAGTTTTCTCTCCTTTTGGCACCAACTGGTCGCACACAGAGCCCAGAGCCAGAGCTTGGGCTGCTGTTTGTGGAGGCTGGCCCCAGCTGTGCAGGGGTGGCACAGAGGGGACAGGGACACCTCGGCATCCCAACGCTCCTGCAAAAGGCTCCTTTTTTAATCACAGCAGAAGAATTACCCTATCTCCTTAGATGTGCCACCTGGTAGAAGGAGCTGGTGCAGGATAGGCACCTTCCCAAGGGAGGGTGAGCCATTCCAGGCCATGAGAGACTCCCATTGCTCCAAGGCTGAGTTGAGGAAGGAGATGTTCGCTGTCTGTGGGGTCTTTAACCGTGTGCCCTTAGTCAGTAGGTGAGTAGATGTTGCTGCCCGTATCTATCTCCCCTACCCAGTTGCTACGTGTGAACAAGTGTATTTCTCCCCAGTGTTGTGGGTTCTGCCTGTGGTGACACGAGGATGGAAAGGCAGGGATGACCTCGAGCTTCCTTCTGTACAGGGTAGAGAGGAAACCTGGATCGGTCCGAGGCACCGCTTGTAACTACATTTGTTCAAGAAATGTCATCTTAACCCCAAACTGTTGACACTTTATGCATGTGCTAATTAAATTTAAAAGAAAAAAAAAAGGAAAAGAATTAATAAAGATTTTAAGAGGTTACAGTAGATTTGGCTTTGGCTTTTTGTCGGCTTGTGCTTTGCTGTGAGTTAATCAGCCCTGTGATGCTCCCTCCTCTGTTCGAGGCCAGGACATGGAAGGAGCAGCAGAAAGCTGTGATCTCTCTAAAACCCCCTCGTTTGGAGAATCAAGCCCTCAAAGATCAATTAATTCCTCAGGGTATTTAATCCATGACTGCCTGGGTAGTCAGAGGGCAGGGGAAGCCCTGTCTGTGCTTGGACAGCTCCTGCTGCTCCTTCCCAACCCCTCTGTGTCTCCAGCAGCTCTTGTGCTCATCCAGCTCCTCCTGATCCCAGGGGAAACACAGACCCCGGGTGAGGGAAGGCAGAGATGTGTTCTGGACTCTGAAATAAAAACACAGACACACAGAGCATGGCACATACCTGGGGCAGCAGCCCAGATCTTCAAAGGTTTTAATTTTACCCCACAGCCCCTCCCCAAATTTTTGGATATCCTCTTGACAAATCACTTTAACAGTTTTATTTACAGTAATAAAAATAAATTACTCTTACAGATGAATGTATAATATTATACACAATAGAGATACAGTGCAATAACAGCATTGATTTGTTTTCACTCGTCATAAAGTGCATCAAAGGGGCTTGATCTGACCATAACTGAATGACAACTGTACATTTCCTTTGAGATCAACTTTCCCAGTCAAGTCTAAAGGCTCATGACAGCGCTGACAGCAAACAAGGCGCTGTCCTGACTGCTGTGGGATGGCCTCATTCCTGGGAGATCAGGTAGCAGGGAATGGGGTGGTTGATTCCCCCGGTCCGTGCTGCTGGCAGGGCTGGCGGGGGGCTCGGAGCCCCAGGGGTGAGCACGGGGCAGGCTCTGCCTCTGCCGGGGGTTCCTGCTGGGCTTGGCCGCCAGAAACTCATCCCTGCCTCGGGCTGGAGGGTTCCCTGCCCGAGAGGACGCTCCTTATCCCGGGGCTGGTGTGCTCTGACCTGCTCCCAAGGGATGTCAGCCTCCAGCCCTGTCCTTGTCCCTGTGCTGCAGCGCCCAGGGCCGCAGCCAGCCCCTGCCCAGCTGGAATAAAAGCTTTTCCTAGGACGAGCCAGCTGTTTTCCACCTCCCAGAGCCTGCAGGAAGGCCATAAACCTGTGCTTGTGGTTTCAGTGGCCAGGGACACGAGGTGCTGTCAGTGCCCCTCAGCAGGGAAGGGATCACCTCGGAGCCCACTCAGCTGCTCCTGGCACCGGGCAGAATTCCTGGAGGAACTGTCACCCCGGAGCTGGAGACAGCTCACTCACACCCCTCCAAGGCAGGGACTAAAGGGCTTCACACCACCCGCAGAGTGGGGTGTTCTCTGCTGGAAAGCCCCTTTTCCCTCTGTGCTGCTCTGTGCCGCAGTTTTCCAGCGGGAATGGCAGAGCTCTGTTCCCGGGGCTGCAGGGATGTTTGGGGTGCTGGGGGGGATTTTGCAGTGGGCAGCTGCACTGACAACAGAAGAGCTGCAAAGGGTCCAAGTGGAGCTGCCTCACCTCGCCACGAGGGAAGGCTGAGAGGAATTACAAGGAAATACCATGTGCATCCAACAATTATTCCTGACAATTAGAAGTGAACTGTTAATTCTTCGTTAGCAATGATGTGGGTCTTGATGCTGGTCAGGACACACCAATACAAGTGAGTACCAATGGCCTTTTAAAAGGTCTCCCCACCCCAAATTTGATGCTTTTACAAGAAAGAGATACTTCATCACCTAATGAGAACAGTAATGGTTTCTTGGGGGTTCATTCCAGGTTCAATTAAAACTCTTTGATGTGAGCAGACTGGGGCTGCCACATCAGGACTGAGACCCTTGGAATCTTTACTGCTGGTTACTGACATGAAGCTGGTTAAAGAGAGACATTTTCACTGCTCAGAGTCCCAAACTGACCAAAAGGGAAAATGAAAAAAGAAAACGAAGCCCAAAATAAAACTAAGCAGCTTTGTTGGTAGAGTCTGTACATTTTAATAGGGTTTTTTGTACTTTATTATTTTTTTTTTAATTTCTCATGCTGGGGCAGGGACAAGGGCTTGTTGTAAATGCACAAGCTCCCCCCAACCCTGGCACATCTCCACGAGCCTCAGGGCAGCTGTGGTTACATCCCACCCCACGGTGGCCCTGGCCTTGTCACAGTGTATTTGAGGAATGTTTGCTCCTTCTTTCCTCCTCGCCCTTTCCTCGTCCCCTCCGCTCAACCAGCCAAGCACCAGCACCAAAAGCTTTTCACCTCTACATTCTGTTGGCCACCAGCTCGTGGTGGAAAAGCCAAAGGCACCCAGAAACCTGCAAATAAATCAGCAAATAAGCACGGATTCATTTCCCTGGCTATGTTGATCCCTGCCATAGGCTCAGGGCTGGTGTGATGCCACCTGTAATGACTCAGGACCAGTTTTCTGCCCATTTCTGCTGCTGTGGATCCAAACCAGCTGCTGGGGAGTCCAGAAGTGACAAGAGTCCAATCCCAGCCTGGCTCTGGCCTCTCGTCCTTTATCAAAAGCTATTTGCAAAGCTCAGAGTTTGAAGATGCAGTGGCAAGATCCTGGCCAGGGTGAGGACAGGGAGTCCTTCCCAACCAAACACCCAGCAGCCCTCTCCAGGCAGCTCCAGCTCCCACCTGGGGGACTCTGTGGACATCAGAGGACATCTGCAAATTTCCAACCAGCCAAAGACCCCGTGCTTTGCAGGACTGCCACTGTCCCCTTGTCTCAGCTGAAAAGCACAATCATTAAATCAGAGGCTTTCAGAGCCCTCAGTTTTACAGAGATACAGAACCCCAGGTGGAGGAGGCCTCCCAGTACACCCAGCACCAGGAAACACGGAGCACTGGATGTACTCCGGTTGCTCTGTGTCCTTCTGGTGGTGCCCAGGAGGTGGAGAGGGGCTGCTGGGTTCTTTTCACCAAGTTTTGGATCCTCAGTAAATCCACAGAGCATCCACCAGCTGGAAACCCCATTTGGCTTTTGGTGGTTCCCTTACCATTGGTGCCTCATCCACATGGGATTCCATTACATTCATGGGAGCTGCTCCCTCTTTGTGGCAGCAGAACCCCATCCTAAAGCCCTGAATTCCATCCCAAACATATCCCAAAGCCAGCCCCAAGCACCAGGACATTCCCACCCTGCACACAGCAAGGCTGCCTCAGTGAGTGATTTCAGGTTTTAAATCAACTTTCCTGGAGCTCAGCATGGGGAGGCTCCGAAATCCATCACCCCCCCAATGCCCAACATTGCCACTCCAAAGTTTCCCAGTAAAAGGTTTTCTCTGTGGGAAACAAAACCAAAACAAAGCCAAAGCACTGCAGCAAACAAAGGTACAGTAAAATGGCCAGAGATTTCCAAAGGCAACGCGTGGCAGGTGAACCTAAACCTCTTTATCCTCTTCTTCACTTCCCCTCATTTCCTCTGATAAAACAGGAGAGGAAAAACAGCAAAAACAACACCTGGAAATTGCACTATTTTTATTTAGGGGAATGACTGCAAAAATGCCAATTTATCAAAATGGGGGTTTTTTTTAGAGGAGATTTCTTAAGACTTTTCCTGAAACCTAACAAGTGTTTTTAGCAGCTTTAACATCCCAAAGAGAGAGGTGCTAGACCATCACACAAAATGAAACGAGGTTCTTGTTTCACAGTAATTCTGAGCATGGAACAGCTCGTGCCACATCCTGGTGCTGACTGTGAGCTGGGTCGGGTCACTCAGGGACCAGAACTCAGAGTTTGCCTTTGCCAAAGGGGCTCAAATGTGCCTGGGTGACCCCCTGTGTCCCAGGGAGGACACCCCCACCTGCTCTTAACCTCACTCTGGCAGGGGCTGTGTCCTCAGCTTTAGCTCCTCACATCCCAAATCTTTCTCCTCTTGCTGTGGAGAAAATTTTCATTGATCCTCATTTGACTTTGGTGAAGTTTACCAGCGCATCCCTCAAACTGAGACACATTTTATGTAAGCAACTAAACTCCAAAAAGAACATTGTTAAAATCAAGCTCTTCAGCAACAGGGAATTTACTGGAAAGCCAAGAAAATGCAACTTATTTTGTGTCAAGGTTTCTCTGGAGCTGATTAGTTGAACTACCTTTCATCTAAAGATACAAAATGGACTGCCCAGAGAAACAAATCCTGACTTCTAGCTAGGGTAGTTGTATAAAAACATTTCAAATGTTCACAATGTTTCAAAAAGGGTTAAAGTTATCATGTTTTCACACTGAGGAGCTGCAGGGACCTGGCTGCACTTAAGAAACCAGAAGAAACAGAATGAGTAAAGTGTTTGTATAAATATTAGTCTTACATATATATTTACTTTAAAACTTACATTGATTCCACATTGTGCCAACTGCCCATTCTCCAAGGTATTCATCAGAGAAAGGAAAGGAAAAAAACCCCAAACCCACAAAACATAAAAACTCCAAGACTGGCCACCTCTCACAGGCAGACAATAAGTCCAAGCCCCAGGCACTCTTGGGAACCTCAGAGCTTTCTCTTGTGCACTTAGCTCCGAGGAGCGAGAGATTCATTGCCAGATCCAGGGACAAAACCCACCTGGATCTGTCTGTACCCAGCCAGAAAGTGACTTTGTACCCTCTGCAGCCACACAAAGCAAGAACATTTCTTCCACTATCACAGACTCACAGAATGTTACAGGTTGGGAGGGACCTCAAAGCCCACTCAGTGCCACCCCTGCCATGGCAAGGACACCTTCCCCTGTCCCAGGCTGCTCCAGCCTGGCCTTGGGCACTGCCAGGATCCAGGGGCAGCCCCAGCTGCTCTGGGCACCCTGTGCCAGGGCCTGCCCACCCTCACAGGGAACAATTCCTGCCCAATATCCCACCCATCCCTGCCCCCTGGCAGTGGGAGCTGTTCCCTGTGTCCTGACACTGCTCACCTTTGCCCAAATCCCTCTCCAACATCACAACAATTTCTCTACAGCAAAGCAGAACATTTGGGTACCAGACCCAGCTGCTGGAGGGTCTCCCAAGCCCCCCATGCCAGGAGCCCGGGCAGCACACCCCCTGTGCCCTGAGCCACCCTGGATGTCCCACCCAGCCCTGCCCCCTCTCCGGGGGTTGTTGGGTTCTCCCTTCCTTGATCAGTGAATGCACGATTCCACCTCCCGGCCAAAAGAAAGCCCAGGATAAAGGACACTTCATCACGGCCTCACTAACACCACAAAGCACATCACACAGCACGGGAATGTCGGGGCTGGCGCTTCTCTGACGAAGCGAGGTAAAGTGGCAGCATCAGCAATGACACGTGTGGTGACAGAGGCTTCTCTCTCGGGGACTCCAGCAAGCCCGGACCCCTCTTTGGATGAAAACCCCACCCCCTGTAAACAACTCGCGTGGAAGAGGGGAAAGCAGTGCCCCACTGCCCGGCTGGACAAGGAGAGCCCTTCCTTGGCCTCCCAGACTTTGGGGTGCAGGGCACCCCCGCTGCCCTCACCTCACCAGCGCTGCCCCAGTCACATTTTCGGGGGGAGGTGGGGGGGGGAAAGAGGGAAAGATCCCCTGGGTGCCCCCACCCCTGCGACAGCCCGAAGAAGCCACACCTAAAGTGTCTGTCAGCCGCAGGTTCTCAAAGTGCTCCTCCAGCCCCCGGGCCCTCCGCCCCGCGCGGCCCCCGGCCCGAGCTCTCCTCCCCCATTATTGCATAGCATCGCAGGCCCTGATTTCGGGGGATGGGCACAGCCACCCCACGCGTGGGGACCAGCCCCGCCGGGGGGGACGCGACACCTCCCTGCCCGCCCCCCGCTCCTGTGGCCTTCCCATGGGATGTGCCCCGAGGCGTGGGACCCCCCGGATGGGGCCCGCTGCTCCCCTGGCTCCTTACCCCGAGAGCAGACAAACGCCATCGTGCGAGGATCCTTTTGCTTTGCTTTGTCCTTTTTTTTCTTTCTTTCTTTTTTCTTTCTTTTTTTTTTTTTTTTTTTTTTTTTTTTTTTTTTTTTTTTTTTTTTTTTTTTTGGTGTTTTGTGTTTTTAAATAAAAAATAAAATGTGTAAGAAAATAACATTTCTAAAGGAAACCATTATCATTCTACTCTCTCTCTTTCCTTTTCTCTTTTGTTTTTTTTTTTTTTTTTTTTTTTTTTTTTTTTTTTTTTTTTTCTCTCCCTCTCTCTCTCTTTTTGGCCATCTTTCCATGGAACGAGATGTGCTGACCGGGGAGGGGACTCCTCCCGGTAGGAGACAATAACGACAGAGGGGAAAAACAGAAGGAGCAGGAGAGCCAGGGAGCACCTCTGGCTCTTGCTCAGTCCTCACACGTCGCTGGATGTCCTTGGTCTGGAGGAGAACGTGGAAGGGATGCACCCGCAGCAGGCCAGCCAGAGCGACTTCTGGATGTCTGGGTTTCTGAAGGCGTAAATGATGGGGTTGATGAGCGAGTTGCAGGTGGCGGGCAGCGCCAGCGAGTAGGTGTACACCGCGGGGTAGCTGGAATCGGCCACCAGCGAGTAGATGGCAAAGGGGATCCAGCACAGGGCGAAGGTGCCGAGGATGAGCGACAGCGTGGAGAGCCCTTTGCGGGTGGAGGTGGCCTGCGCCGTGGCGATGAACTGGTGCTGCACGGCGATCTGCTGGGCGTGCCGGAAGGCGATCTTGCAGATCTGCAGGTAGAGCTGCATCATGAGGGCGAAGAGGAGCAGGAAGGTGACGGCCAGCACGGCCGCGTTGTCCTTGGTGACGGGCCGCAGGATGCTGCAGGAGCTCTGGTCCCGCAGGCAGTTCCAGCCCAGGAGGGGCAGCAGCCCCACGCCCAGGCACAGCAGCCACATCAGCAGCACCATGGCGCAGGTGAAGCCCAGCGTGCGCTCGCTGTGGTAGGTGAGCGCGTTGTACAGCGACAGGTAGCGGTCCACGGTGATGGCCAGGAGGCTGCAGACGGAGGCGGAGAAGGCGGCCAGCAGCAGCCCCGCCGCCGCCAGCTCCGCCGCCTCGCTGGGCGGCCGCAGCAGGTAGCGCACGGCGAAGTTGGCCACCAGCCCCAGCCCGGCCAGCAGGTCGGCCAGCGCCAGGCTGCCGATCAGCAGGAACATGGGCGCCCGCAGGCTCGGCGTGTAGAACAGCACGGCCAGCACCAGCGCGTTCTCGCCCGCCACCGCCGTGCCCGTGGCGCACAGCGCGATGTCCCAGGGGCTCACGGACCCCGCGGCCGCGGCCCCGCCGCCCGGCGCCGCCGTGCCCGGCCCGGCCGCCGCCGCCGAGGGCCAGGCGGGGGGCTCCGAGGCGTTGCCGAGCCCCGGGAGCCGCTGCTGCTGCGGCTGCGGCGGCCACGGCTCCCCCATGGCGGCGGGGCCGTGCAGCATCGCTGGGGAGAGAGGGAGAAGGGGGCGGTGAGGGACGGAGCCCGAGCCCCCGGAGAGCCGCCGAGCTCCGCGCCCAGCCCGGGCAGCTCCGCGCCGAGCCCGCACCTCGACCCTCGCCCGGAGCCGCGCCGAGCCGGGGGAGACCCTCGCCGAGCCCGCCCCGCGTTCCGGAGCCCCCCGCCCCGGGACACCGCGCCCCGCACCGGGCCGCCCCCGCCCGCCGCATCCCCGCCCGCTCCCGGCCAGCCCGACTGCAGCTTCCCTGGGATCGAGCCTCCCATCCCCGGCTCGCCGCCCCCCGCCCCGCACGCACCCCTGGCCGCTATCTCCCGCCGGGCTGAGGCCGAGCACAGCTCATCACCCCGCCGCCCGCAGCCGCCTCCGTGCGCTCGGCTCCGTGCAGGGTCCGCAGCCACTGCGCACCCGGTGAGGAACCGGCCGCCCCCTCCTCCTCCCCTCCCCGGGGCACGGCCACCTTTGCTACCTATTTATAGCGCAACCCCTCAGCCCCCCCTCCCGCAGCCCTTTCTTTTTTGCGTGCAGTGAGTAAAAATAAACACTATTAATAGGCCAGCGCCTGTATGCGGAGCCGCTGATGGCAGGAGAAGGCAGCGGCAAGGAACAGCCTACGTTAAGTTTCTCCTTCCTCCCCGCCTTTCCCTCCTTTGGAAAAGGCTGGTGCGAGATGCTCCCGGCCGGCGGCAGCATCCTGCCGTGCCCGGAGGAGTGAATCCCCCCGCCCGGGGCGGGCAGCCAGCCGAGGTGTGAAGGTCGGGGCTGTGCCCGCAGCCCGCTGCCGTCCCCCGCCGCCACCATCGCCCCTTCCCGCATGCAGCCGCGACGCCGGGGGTTGTTGTTTTACCTGGTTTTAATGCTCGAGGATCAGCTTGCTCCCCCCACCCCGTTTTTATTTTTTTCCTTGCCGGTCCTTCCAGCCCTTGGTGCGAAGCCTCATTCCTCGGCGAGCATCGCTAATAGCGTTGGCAGAGAGCTGGCATCGACTTGCACTTAATATTCCTGCCCCATTGGATCTGCTGATAAATCTCAACTCTGACGTCAAAGTCTTCACTTATATTCATGATCCAAGTCTGTGAATCAGAGCCGCTGTGATCAGAATAACAACAAGGCTGGCTCCCCGCTCCACATCCCCTTCCACACCCGCAGGCACGCGGGGGGTGCCGCGCCCGCCCCGCCGATCGTTCATTCATCAGCCTCAGCCTCCCGCCGCCCCGACGCACCTCCCCAAGGTCGGGCCCGCTGCACCTGCGTCCTGCGGATGCAGCTTGGGCACCGGCCAGGCCCGGGCTGCTGGCAGGGTTTATTTTTACCGCTTGTGCCGAGGGACGCGGGGATGCGAAGGGAGGGCGGCGATCCGGCGTGGCGCGGCTCCGGTGCCGCGCTCCTCAAGGACAATGTCCAGGACAGCGGCGCCGCGACGCGGCGGCTGAGGCTGCTCGGGGATCCTGTGCGGCCAGCCTGGGCCAGGGGCATCCCTCCACAGGGAAACACCGCACCCCGCAGCCTTCGCCCCACACGGGCTTCCCTCCAGCCAGCGAAAAGCTAGGATGAGGAGGAGCTCGCCGGAATGGGGACCTGCCCAAGGACGCTGAGTGTGGGATCTGTCCCCCTCACCGCAGCACCCACCCACCCCAGAGCTTCCTCCCCGACTGTTTGGGAAAGGAACAGCCTGGAAAGGAACAAATCCCAAAGACACGATTATTTTTCCAGCTATAAATGGCTCCGTGATTCATCTTGGGAGCAGGATCATCAAAGAAGGGATGCTCAGCTCCTGGATCCACAGGATTTCAGCTACACCTTCTCCCCTTTTTCCTACTCGTTTCATAACACTCCAGCTTCCCTCTTTCATCCCCCTCTCTCTTCCAGGCTGGAGCAGCCAGCTCAGCGCTGGGAAGGATTTCCAGCTCCCGATGTGCAGAGATATTTAGGTGAATAGCAGTGATTCTGGCTGAACTCAACCGCCCCAATTTGGAGCATCTGTGTTGCTAATCGGGCCAAGCCCCATCCCAGGGACGTGAATCGTCATTTACCTGGGGCCGCGTGACCGAGCGCCGGGCGGCAGCACAAGGGGCGGAGGAAAGCCGAGCGAGAGCTGAATGAATTCGCTCCCGCTCCCGGGAATTACGCACGGCCCGGGGAAGGGGAGGCGGCGGAGCAGGGACGCGCTGCAGGCAGCGCTGGCGGCACTGGGGATGCGCCGGCGGGGCGTGGCGGTCTGTGCGGTCAGAGCCCACCCAGGACGGGCCACGAGCGCTGCGGGGCTGAGCAGGGATGTCCCCGCTGTCCCCAGCCCGCGGGCACCAGGGCTGAGCGAGGATGGGCACACGCAGCACACGGCAGTGACCCGGCCCGGCCCTTGTCCCCTGGAGCTGCCCCTGGCAGGGACACGCGCGCTCCAGAGGGTCCCGGCTGATCCCAAACCCCTTGGGCTCGCTGCAGCTGCCTTGGCCCTCCTGCTCCGTGCAGCGTCCCACCCTTCCTGCCCTCTCCCTGCCGAGCCCCTCAAACACCCGGCACTCCCACGGCAGCCCCTTCCTTCCCACCTCCAGCTCCTCCCCTCGACATCCCACCACAAGTTTGCCACAATCCTGTGATGTTTTTTCTGTGTCCTACAGGAACACCAGTCCCTGGCAGGTGTTACCCCTCTTGGCTCCAGAAGTGCCCCTTTCCAGACACACATCCCTGTGGATTTCAGCCACTGCTGGGAGCTGCTTGTCCCCCTGCCCAGGGAAGAGCAGCCCTGTGTCTCCAATGAGATTTTTTGGGGTTTCACCTGTGCAAGGGGGTGCAGTGCATTGGCAAAGCACCCGCTGGGGTACCCCAAGAATGCTGAGATTTTCTGGTGACAAAAATGACATTATCTGGCCCCTTTTAAACCAGGGCTTGCTGTCCCCAGAGCAGCCCTGTTGCACATGAGAGGACAGGCCACTGCACACCCTGTTTTCAAGGCTTGAGAGTCTACTTTTTGAAGTTGTATTCAATGTTCTGAGCTCCCTGAGTAGCTCAGAACATTGAATAGGAATATTCCTATATTAGACATAGGAGTTTATCTGTACTTAAATTACAGACTCAATAGAGAGGAGCAAAGATCAAAGCTAAGCAAAGACACAAGCCTGATCTGTAATTACAGAGCAAGAGGCCACCAGCCTCACCTGAGAATGCTGTTCAGCATGGAAAAAGTCTCCCACCTTCATTCCTCATCATCCTCCTTGGATTTTGGCCCTTGGGAAAAAGCTCAGTGCTGGACAAGGCAGGTTTTCCTGTGGCACTGCCCTGTGGGGGTGCTGGGTGCTCCCAGCCCACTGCAGGGCTTGACCTGGAGCTCATCCTCCCTTAGAATTTGTGCTTTTTTGCTTAAAACAAGTGGGTGGCAAGTCAAAACCGGGGTGGCAATCGCTAATGACGTGGTGTCCCAGGCCCAGCCCACTGGGGACCAAAGCTGGAACAAGGGCTGCTGTTCAAGGGCACGCTGGTGGTACACAGGGATAACCACAACTCCAATTCTCCATCATTTTTACCTCCACAAGTATTAAAATCAGCTTTACATCTTTTCTTCGGAGAAATGTCATCACCTCCCAGCATCCCATCAGCTTTACCCACCCCAGCTCCCACTCCTCTGGGAGCATCCTGTGGCTGAGCTGACAAATCCAGGAGCTCCCTGCCTTGTGCCAGGCTCAGAGCCACGCTGCTGGAACATTCCCCCACATTTCATTTCTCCCGGCGTCTTTTCCGCAGCGAGCGGATCCAGCCTCGTTCCAGCACCTCCGCTGTTCCCTGTTACTCCAACGGCTTGAGGAGCTCTAAGCAGGAAAAGCTCAGCTATAATTAGCAGTGCTGACTAATCAGGGTGGCAAACAAGCTCTCAGAGCCCGTCAGCCTCCCCAAAACGGGGCTGTCGGGGGCTGCGCTGCTGGGAGCCCTACATTCAAAGGCTTTGCATAATTCGTGGTGGAAACGAGGCCATTTTCTCACTGCTGCCACTGGAAAGATGGGAATTCTCCTAGAGCTGCTCAAGCTGCAGCATCCCAGCCTGGTGGGAAGAACCAGGGCTCCGTGGTGGGTTGGGGTGGTTGAGGTGCCGGTGCCAAAGGCAGGCACTGGAGGAGCTGGAGGGTGACAGGCAGGAGTGTGGCTGGTAAAATGACCCACCTCTGTGGAAAAGCAGCTGATTTGCCTGAAGATCCTCTCTCCAGGTAGCTGGAGTGGGCCCCTTCCACGTCCTGACTTGCAAGGGTGACCTCTGCCACCCTCCTGCAGCAGCACTGCTGCAACCCTGACTTCACCTCTTGCAGAGGCACTTTGGCTCTCCCAGCAGCAGGGAAAACCTTCCTGCCCCCTTCCCTCTGGGCTGTTCAGCCTGGGGACAGTGGGGACACCGTGTCCCACTGCTCTGTTGCTGTTACACATGCAGGGAACACTCCCCACTTGGGGGGACAGTGCCTGGCTGTGCCGGCAGGGAAGGAGTGATCCCAAGGCTCACTCCCACGTCTCCTCCTGATTGCCACCAAACAAACACTCAGGCCAAGCCAGGGGGAGGATTTTTGCTCCTTCCATCAGTGATATCATCCCCACACAAATGGTTTTGCTCCAAGTCCTTTCCTGAGCCAGAGGGACATGTTTTGGAGCACCTTTGCTGGCACATGCCGTGTCACCATATGTCACTGAGCAGGGCTTCTGGGAAAAGGGGTTTTTTTTTTTTCCCAAAATTAAGGGTTTTGCACTGTGTTTTACTCCTTCTCCCAAGGTGTATGTGCTGCTCTGGCTGGGTGCCTCATCAGGAGTGACTGTTTCCCTAAACTGCCATTCAGCTATAGGGAACACTGGGAGCATGCAGAATATGAGGCAAAATATGAGTGTGATAATTAATAATTAACAATAACCCAATTTACCTGATGTGGCATGGAGGTAAGGAAGGTTTTCTAGGAGTTTGGATGGGGAAAAATAGGAAAGATCCTTAAGAGAAATAGAAAAGCTGGAGGTTT